TTTTTTTGCCATTAAGTGTCCCCAACACATACCTTAAACCATTATTAAAAAAAAAAAAAAAACATCTTTTCTTGCATAGCATAAATGATATCTTTTATTATGACAAATAAACTATTACCTTTAATAATTTATTTATACTCGACTCAATCTTATTTTCACATCACATTATTGAGAATATTTCTTTAAAGATTATCAAACAAATAGTTAAACAATTTCAATTAACATTTAACATGCATTCATGATCTATACTAATCAATGTTAAAGTAATTAATTACTATTACACTTTTTTTTTAATAATCTCATGTGAAATTAATATTTTAATAAATCAACAGTTAGAGTTAACAACAGCTATGATGTAGAAAACGTCCTTATTTGATTGAAAATTTCAACTTATATAGCTTCCTTGTTGAAATACTCACCTTATATAAGTCATTGATTAATGAATTCAGTAGTTTAATTAATTTATATCCGTCTGAGAAAGTTAATTATGACTAATCAGTAATGTTTCTTGAAACAATAGAACTGGTTATGGGTCCGTAAACCAAGAGGCCTAAAGGGGGATACAGCCTACAGTAAATATCAATAAGTTTAAATGGGCTTTTGGGAAACACAGAGTGCATTGTTCTAACCCTATGATCTCTTCTTCAAATTTTTTTTTTTTTATTTTATTTTACATGAAATCTCATATGTTATCTTGTTATCCTATGTGGAGGTAATAGGCAATATTGTAACCATCCATATATATAGTTAGTTTTTAAGTTACTCAAACATTTTTTTAATACAATTTTTTTGGTTATATAAAAAAATATTATTTAAATTAAGTCAATTCAAAAGATAAAGATGAGATAAGATTTGAATAAGGACTTTAAATATTTCCTTTTATTTCAATTAAATAAAAGAGCAACACTGAAGCGAATATATTTTGTAAGGTAAAATTCAAATACAAAATGATTTGAGATTGAAACATGGCATTTAGAGATAAGGGTTAAACAAAGTCTCTGAAAATAACCCTCAATTTGTATGGTAATCCATGGTCTTTGAATCCATCTAGCCATGCATGAACCAAGGATGTCACATCCACATTTGCGTACTTAAGACGAAGTCTTGATATCCCAAAATTTTATGCACCACGTTATGCGTAGGACCAAAAATGAGATGATAAGTCCTCTAACCATCTTTATCACATACTTAAAAATTAAAATCGACCTCAACCGACATATAAGAAATTAGAAAAAGTTCATAAAGAGTTTCATTTTCCTAACTATTGTCCCACATTATTCAAAATTCCTTTTCATTTATTATTAACTAATTAAATACTTTTAACTTTTTTTCGACAAAAAATACTTGTACGTTGAAGCAATTACTTTCATAACTTTTTAGTTGACTTCCATACTGTACACAATTTGTTTTGCTGGCTGACATGATTTTCTTTCATCATCTTCATTTTCTCAGTTCTTTTCTTTCCAACTACATAGTGTCTCTACTTTAACCTAAAGAAGAACAAGAATCAACAAGTCTACGTTCCCTCTTTTTAATTATTTCTAATTCGTGTATTACATTTTTTATTTAATAATTTCCATTATCATTTAGCATGATTATAGATGATTCAGTAAGACAATAAATTCATATAATATGAACACAGAATGTCATAATGATTTTGAAACTGTCAGATGTTTAAAAATATTAAAATCGAAACAAATGAAAAAAATCACAATCAATCTTTTTTAGAGTGTGATTGATCACTTAAAGTTATTTTTTTAATAAAACTATAAAAGCGGATTTAAAGTTTATAAAAAAATAAATTTCAATCTACGAAAATCAAGTTAGGTTCGGGAGTCGATTATGTGTAGGGAATGATTAGTACATCTACAGTACCCATAAATTAGTACTAATTAATCATGTACTATTTTCAGTGTTGGATGAAATAGTTTTGATTTGAAATTTAATATTAATTACCTTTTGTTATTTTAAAAAATAAAAATTAATTTTATCAAAATTCTTTATTTGAGTATCGAAGAAATATTTAAGTTAAAAAATTATCTTAAAATTCTCTAACGTCTAGATAGAACTTTAAAGATAACTCTTTTAACTGATATTTACTATGACATTCCTTGAAAATGAAAATAGCATTCTTTAGGGAAGATAATTATTGATGAGCCTCCAACATCTAGGTAGAGTACCAATAATTATTTTCTTTGAAATATTATTTTTGTTTTATAATATCACAATTTTAAAATACGTATTTTATTTTTTTTTGTAAAAAAAATTTTCGATGAGAAAGTAAATGATGATATTATCATGTGGCAAACAAAAATTAAAGGCATAAATAAGCGAAACAAGTGCAAACAATAGCAAATAAACGTGTGTAAGCCAACGGGTGTTATACATGATCGTAAAATGCAATTTTGAAACTGGATTCTTAAATATAATGAGACATTTTTTATTCTCCAACGTCTAGACAGAGTTTATGTGCGACTATTTATATTTAAGAACCTATTTTATGTATTGGTTTTAATCTCGTTGTTAAGGGGAATTAAGGACTTGTATGAAAAACTTAATGGTATAAAGTTTCCTAAATACTTTATCATTTAGGCCATGTTTGAGAATAAATTACTCCACTTGAGATTTTCGCACCCATACTTAGAGTTTTAGAATAGTTTTGAACATAGGTATGGGTCGAGGTTTTAAAGTTGGGTGACTTTTGGGTGATAATTCGAGATTGTGTATCAAATTTGGGGTTTTAGGTTTTGAATATTAAAATTTAGGGTTTTAGGTTTTCGATTTTAGGGTTTTGAAATTTAGGATTTTGAAGGTTTATGGTTTGAAGGTTTAGGATTTTAGGGGGTTTAAAAGTTTAAAATTTGAGGGTTTAAGGTTTTAGGATTTCAATTTGAGGGTTTAAGATTTTAAGATTTTTGGTTTTTAGGGTTTGAAAGGTCTAAAGTTTCGATTTTAGGATTTAGAGGGTTTAGGGTTTCGATTTTAGGATTTGGTTTAGAGTTTAGGGTTTAGAGTTTTGATTTTAGAGTTTAAAAGGTTTAGGGTTTTAGTTTTAGGGTTTAAAGGATTTGAGGTTTTAGTTTTTAGGGTTTAAAGGCTTTAGGGTTTTAATTTTAGAGTTTGAAGTTTAGGGTTTTGATATTAGGATTTAAAGGGTTTATGGTTTTAGTTTTGGAACATCTCTAAAAATTTTTAACATTTAGACGGATTTTCAAGGCAAGTTTGATTTTTATGATTTTTGAAAATTAATTTAAAATGTTTTCATATATTTCTTTTTTATAAAATTTTATTATTATTATTATTATTATTATTATTATTATTTATTAGTTTTTTATTAACATTTAATTTTATTATTATTATTGTTTAATAATTCCCTAACATTTAAGTAAAATTATTTTTTAAAAAAACGATTTTTATTCCTTCCATCATCTAGGCAGAAATTTTTTTTTTATCATTTTATTCTTGTTATCATTTTTTTAAAGATTTTTTTTAGCATTTTTTGGTTATTATTCTATTATATTGTTATTTTTATTAATGTTTTATTTTTTAATTTATTTTAAAAAGAAAATTGAAATCATTTTTTCATTTTATTATTGCTATTTTTAGTTATTTTATTAGGTTTATTTTAAGTTTTTTTTTGAATGAAATTTAAAAAAAAAACAAAATTTAGATTTTATTTATTATTAATATCATTATAAAAAAACACCAAACATTTATACTAACAAGAAAATCAAACATGCTTAACTAATAATAACAATTAAAAATAATATATATATATAAAAGGTAAATAAATAAATCAAAAATAAATGTATTGTTTTGTTTTTTTTAAGTTACCGGTTTGGAAAGGGACTGAGTACTGGGTGAGGTAAAAGGGGTCGTTCGGTGCATGCTCTTGATGGAGCTATGGTTTGGTGGGAGTGGTTGTTGGGTCGAGGGGTCTCGTGAGGTGTGTTGAGGTTGGGACTTTGAGGCTTAGGGGGCATGCAAAGAGTTGGGTTGTTTCGGTGTGAGACCTTGGGTGTCGGTGTATGCTTGAGAAAGGGTATGTGTCCAAGAGCTCTGGAAGGAGAGGAAGCTAGGTGCTTTAAAGGGCTAGATGCCTAGGATGGTGGGTGGAGTAGGTGCTCGACAAGATATGGGTGCCATGACAGGGTAAGGCTGATGGCTTTGGGTAGTTGGGACATGTGAGATGCAGGTGTCACAGTCCTTGAGTAGAGCTAGAAATCTCACGTCAGTTGAGTACTAGAGTTGATTTTAGGATATAAGAGTTCACACATTCCTTTTATTGTAAGGCACCTTTTGTAAAACAAAACTGTGAGGCTAAGGGGCCAGAACAGATAATACTTCACAAGGGTGTGAATCGTAAACATTAAGCTAATCTGAAAAGTCGAATGAGTGCATGCCTAGATCCTAGATCCACGCGAACTTAGAGCTTGAGTCTCAACTCGTAATAAGTGGTATCATAACCAGCTCTGGGGGTACTAGCGATGTGCCACCGATGATGGTGAACTTTTGTTGGAGTAAGGGAGGATGCCACGGTACTAGAGTGAAGCCAAAAATCCCATATCGATTAAGTACTAGAGTTGATTTTAGGATATAAGGGTTCATACATTTCTTTCATTGTGAGACGTTTTTTGTGAGATAAAACCGTGAGGTCAAAAAGATTGGAGCAGATAATACCTCACAAGGGTGTGAATCGTGATAATTAAATTGATCTAAGATGTCGGATGAATATATATTCGAGTCTTGAAACTGCATGAATCTGAAGATTGAATCTCAGCCCATGACACAAAGACTCTGGGTATGAGTTCCATAAGTATGGTACTGTGCAGGAGTAGGTGGGTAGGTTGGTGTCGACACCATGCTTAACCTTGTCCCCTCTCTTTTTTTTTAATAAACCAATATTATTATTATTATTTACTTTCATTTTTTTTATTATAATTAATTAATAATTTTAATATTAATAAACAAAAACTAAAAACAAAATTTCATAATATAGATTTAAATAAAATTCGATGTCTATAAAGATGAAACACCTTCATGGTGCCAAGTTAACTATGACACCCTGAAAATCTACTATATATACACACTGACACTAGGCTTAATTGGCACAAGAAAAAAAAACAAAAGAAAAAAAAGACAACAACAACAACAGCAGCAGCTGAAATCAATCCAAGTAGTAAAATAACTAAAGTCCTCTGGAACCAGGAACATCAATCCATTGCAATTGAAGCTCAACTTCACCACACTCCACATTTCTCAGCCTCAAGAACATGTCTTGAACAACTTTGCCATTGCTCCAAATTATACAACTCTCTTCAGATAGACAGTTTTGCCTGCTTGGCTGTATTTTCTTGATTATAGTTCCACTGGGAAGACCTTCCAAACGCATCTTCACCGCTTCTATAAATGGACCCATATCAAATTCAGCATCCCCCATTTTATCATCTAAAGTGAATGTATCTTTGTCATATACAGCCTGCGATTGCATTCAAAAGCATGATTCATACCAGAAAGTTAGTCTTTCAAAGGTCTAATTGAGCTAGACAATGTTTCAGTCACAAAATCTAATCCTCTTCCAGCAGGTTTGAGATTCAATAAATACTTACAAGCTTAACTGGAAGACTTGGGTCTGCAATGGAAAGTGTTAAATCTTCATTCCACTCTGGGTTGACATTCTTCTTTATGACACGAGTCTTTAATTTCTGGACAGATTAAATTTCAAATGAGATTCAATATTCATTCCTCGTGTAAAAAATGAGAAATACTACTGATAAACTGCTTGTTCTCATTTTTTTTTTACCCTATTGGATTTTAAGTAACCGAGCTTAGGAAATAAATGTTGGAATTAATGCATTTTATATTAAAAATATTACGAATTAACTATGGGGCATTAAAAAAATGAAAAAAAAAGAGATGGCATATATATTCTCGATTTTGAGTCTTTGACCCTAATTTAGTGGGTGTAGAAATAGCCATAAAACCAACATGTGGCTGAAAGAGCAAATATTATAAAACTCTTTTTCCAGGTTACTGTAAATTGAAGCTTTGTTGTCCATGGGAAAAGGGTCGTGAAATTATTAAAATTTCTGGTGCTGTCTATTAACAAAATATTTATGAATCAGGAAGCTTGTTGAATATAAAAAATTTTCATTTCAAGTGATCAAGGAGAAAATAAGAATATCATTTGAAGTTTGTAGATCCGATCAGGTTTTTAAAAAAGCTGAATGAATGTTTGTTTTAGGAGAAAGTTACACAGAAAGAACATAAAGAAGTTAACAATTTGAAAAAAGGAATTTAACAAAGAAGGACGGAGAAAAAAAGAAGTTGAAACCGAAAACAGAAGCAAGACTCTAGGTAATATATATGTCTTGTTGTTGAAAGGAATTGTGTCTTTCTAACACAGAACAAGAAAGATGGTCAGTTTTTGTGGATGACTGAACTGAAACCCTCAAAAACCTATCAAAACTGACTAAATCTATAAAAACAGACAAAACTCATAACCTGAAATGCTCCCAAAAAAAAAAAAAAAGCCCAAAAAGGAATGAAAATCAGCTAGCAAATAAACTGAAAAGCAAAAATATGTAAAAAATTACCTGTTTTCCCATCCTGACAAGGACATAAGGATCACTGCTTACAACATCTCTCACGGCAAGATTCACCCCTCTTTGCACATGAATTCTCAACAATCCCAACATATTCTCCATCTCTGATCACGATCCTTTTTGCAGAAAAAGGGGTTGACTCTCTTTTTTGTTATGGTTTTTTAATACTAGCGAAGGAGGTGGGTGGGGGAGTGGTGGCCCTGGCTGCTGGATTGCAAATTTATGATGGGAAGGCCCAACTATAAAGCTTGGTTTTTATATCGGAACCAAAGCCAAAAAACCGTGTTATATTAAATTAATACTAAATAATATATATTTGATGATTTCAAATGAAATGACGGAGAAATCAATCTGTGGTTTACTACTGGAATGGCGTTAGTTTTGGAAGTTTTTTCAATCTACGTGGGATTGATTAAAGACAACGTTGTTTAAGAAAAAGACAAAAAAAGCGACCTTTTTTTTTACTTTGTGGTGAAGAAATAGTATAATAACAAGGATTGGAAGTCGGGTAATTGGACCGGGTCGGGCCTTTCAGTAGCATGGTAAAACAGTAATTAGGAGTTAGGAGTTCAATGTTGACCAGGTGGCTTGAAAAGGAAACGTGGTGCGTTCTTAACTGAATGTGAGGTTATTCTTGGTGACGGCTGAATCTTGTTGACGGAGTTTTGTGTTTTGAAAAGTGACATGATTCATTTAATTGATTAAGATTATTTTTTTTATAAAGAGAATTTATATTTAGATTTTATCGATAATTATTTATTAAAATTATTTTAAATATATAATTTATAATTATTTATTTTAAATTATTTGTATATTTTATTTTAATTTAAAAGATTAAATAATTTATTTATTTTTAAAATTAAAAAAAATAAGTAAATTAATTAAATCAAATAATTTATTTTTATTGAAAAAGATGTTGGTTTGGTCAAATAAAAGGAGAGAGTCGCTTTATCTAGACACGCATATTTCCTTAACTTGAAAAGTCGTTCAAGTCATTTGACTCCAAATTTATTTTAATAAGAGAATTCGTTCAAATAAACTCGCCTAACCCTACTTATCTCATAGCCAACTCTACATGTATCGCTGTAGAAAAGAAAAATTATGGAGTGAATCCACTTAAAGTTTTTATAAAAAGAACGGGTTTATGAGATGAAAAAAGTCATTCCATGGCTAACTGCACTTTGTCTTCCCCACTTGTAATTTTAGTCGATTTTCTTTTGGTAGTATGCAAAACGTTCTTTTCATTGAAACGATTAAATCAAATTGAGAAGAATTTTTCTTTGAAAGGAAAAAAAAGCTGGATCTAAAATCTACGTTCATATTGACAAATTAAGACGTATGAAATCGTATCTGATATTGGAAAAATTGCTGGATGAAGTGTCAAGCACAGGGAAAGACTACTGGGTGAAGTTTCTCGAAGGGAATATCCTGGTAATATCCTGTAAAAAGGTGGACTGCTGATATGCTGTTAAGCCATCATTTTCTCCTTGCAAACTGTCCTTCGTTGGCCAAGTTTGGTTGTATGTTACTTCTCCGTGGGTTTTGGGTCTATCCAATTTGATTTGTTGTCCAAGTTTAGGGGGCTTTGACAAAATTGCATTGGATGCGAAAACTGGGCTTTGGGATGATTTATAAATAGTCTTGGGTCAAGACTTAGAGAAAATATCCAGAGTTCAGGTCGTGTTGACCTACCCAGCCTTTCCCTTAACGCTCATGTCTCTATGCTCAGCTTGGTTAAGGTGCAAATGTAACGAATATATATATTTTTTGTAGTGTATTTATTTTTTTTAAAAAGTTGTTTGGCTTAGTTCGTATTATGTAAGAAAATTATTTTGTTCATTCGAGTTTTATTTATTTAAATGATAAAATATTCGTGTTCAAATTATATTTGATTTGATTAAATTAAACAAATTTATTTTGAATATTAAACAAACTTGTTTGTGAATATTAAACAAATAAGTTCACAAATATATAAAAAAATATGTTCATAAATAATAAATAAATTATAATCAAATAAATTAAAACACTTAGATCTTAAACAAATATTAACAAATCCAAACGAATATAAACGAATCTTAAAATAAGATTAAAGTAAATGATAAAAATAGTTTTGTTATTATTATTATTATTATTATTATTATCAAACAATAAATGAATAATAAATAAATTTAATTAAACGAATGAGTTTAAATGAATTTTAAACAAGCTTATTGGTAAATATAAATGAATTAAGTATATTTTTATTTATATTCTATTTATTTAATAAACAAATATAAAAATATTATTTAAAATTTTTGTTAAATTTAATAAACAAACAAATATCAAATATCTTCACAACCAATTCATCCAATATTGTAATTGTTTACATCCATAAACTTGTCAGTCTATTATTTATATCACTAAACTTGTCAGTCCATTTATTTATTATAAAAATTATATATTAATAATATCCTAAAATTAAGATTAAGTAAAAATATATTATTATTAATCTAATAATCTAACATAGTTCAATCGAGCTAACTCAAGCCTAAAATTATTACTCAAACTCAACTAGAATCTAATCAGATTGACAAACGTGGACGGAGAAGCAGGCTTTTGAACATCTCTGGACAAGTTTGCTTACTTATAATAGTACTAAAGATAGAGAGAAGATTAGGTCCCATTTACTTGTGTTTAATTAATAAAACTTTTTAATTTTTATTTTTAAATTTCTATTTTGTAATTTTAAATTCTACATAAAAATTAGGAAGAAAATATCAATTTGTAAAATGATATTTCATATGTTCTTCAAAATACTAGTTCAAATATAAAATACCTTCTAACTTAAAAAAAAAAGAAAAAAAATTGCATTTTCTGTTTTTTTTTTAACCTCCTTTATCTTTGATATTATATTATATAAATAAATAAAATATGGTACCAGTTTTTAAAATAATATTGAGGGATTTATTTAATGGCTTGTGTTAGGTTACGAATTTAAGATTTCTCAAACCTTAGACAAAATGATCAACAGTACTAGTAAAGCAATATTTTAATTTGATCCAATCTTTTCCCAAGTGTTTTTCTATTCCTTTTATGGGAGGGCATTGATTTGAATTTCATGATTCTATCTCATTACAAACTCTATTTTGGTCTTCCTTTTGTGCATGAATCATGAAGGAATAAAAACTAAAAATATTGTCTAATAAATTGTAACTTTTTATATTTTGGTGATCCAAATAAAAAAAATCGTTTAAAATTAAGTGACAAAAGTTGTAATTTATCTTTTATTTTCTTTAACATTGTTTATCAATAAAGTAAATAGTGTCTAATAGAAATTAGTGTGTGAATACATGTATATGGGATCCAAATGTTGAAGTGTCATGAGTTTAAATGCAATGATTATAAGCTTTCCAATAGTAAAGGACTTAGAATTTTAAAGGGTTGCTATCTAAACCCATTTAATCTTTTGATCAAAAAATTAAAGAGCTTTCCTCACAATCATGGAAAAGGGAGATTTTCAAGCTGTATATAAGTCGTAGCGTTTGAATTTGGGGAGTGTAAAGAAACTTTCATGCATTGAGGGACCCCAATGTTTCTCTAAAGAAAAAAAAAAAAAGAAGGGGGGGGGGGTGAGTGCTTCTTGGTGGAAGCCATCGAAATCAATGGAGCCACCAAGTCAATTTGAACACCCCATGCACCATAAAATTGTTTGATGAGATTAATGGGGAGATAATGACCCCCAAGCCAATGAATTACTAGTTCTATTGAATTAGATTAGATTAGATAAAAGGGAAAAGAAAAAAAGAAAGTATTTGTGTTGTTGGAACCCAATGGAAAATTTCCAATCAATCTCAATTATCATACCTCCAACTTATCTAGTCAATCATCATCTTTGGTGCTATGATTTTAACCAAAGGCTTCCAAATAAAAGTTTATCAAAACCACAATTCTTTTGTTGACTAATCGGTGGCTTATTAATGCTAAGAATAGTCAAGCAATGATGAAAGCTCCATAGAAATTTTTTACCAGGACTCTTTCTTTTGTGTATGCGTTTATATACGTGTCTATACGTAAACATGCACATAATAATTTTCTCTTTGCTCCTGAAGGGCCTATCATATTAAGGAGGCATGCATGCCACATGGCAAAGCTGTTGAATGTAAAATTAAATCTTATAATGAGGTTGTCGGCTCTTGCAGCACTAACATTGGCTGCAAATATTGTCCATATATGATGCCAATGGTTGGCTGGAGCTTGAGGCACTACCTAGAATTTTGATTCCACTGGTCAGCTGTAGGATCCAGTCAAGTTTCAATTGGAAGAAGAAAAAAGATGAAGCCGTCCAATTGATTAAAGTTGATTAATCAGATCCTTCTTATTGTAGTGGATGTGCTCCTGCTGGAAACAATCTATGACTTCCAATTGAGATTCAAATATATGTACAATGGGATTTATGGGAGGGAAATAGATTTAATACAGCCAAAAGTTTAGTAATTCTTTTGTGTATCTAAAACCAGATTGGTTTTACTATGGAACTTTTTCTTTAAGTATATACAAGAATGAGCTTTTAGAAATTTTAGATTTTAAGTTTATATCTCATAATTTATATGTACGAATTTGTCCAAATTTATTTAATTTGTTTGTGGATATTTATTGGAAGTTATTTAAATTTAATTTTACAGTTTCACGAAGAAAAATAGATTTAATTAAGAAACCCTTTTCTTTTTCCCTCAAAAGGATTGTTCCAGCTAGATGTCATTAATTAATCACCAAAATTAACATGTCATATACTTGCAACCAAAACATTTTTATACTTTCTAAGTATAATTACAACTAACATTCTCTCTATTGCACTTTTTTTTTTTTTTTTGAGTTTTTCTTTTTTTGTCATGTCCTTCCTTGTGCGTGTGTGTTTTTTTTTTTTATAATTATGTTTTCTTATAAAAAAATACACAATAAAAAACCCACTTCTGTAGTGCATTGATTGTTGTCAATCATCTCCAAAATTCAACTGTTTATTTCAAAAACTTCCAAATTCCCCGAAATGATTAGCACTGACACTCAGAAGCAGTAAAAATACTTGAGCTTTTTTGCATAGTGACTCCCACCTCCAACAAAGTCCCAAAAGTTAAGGCTAATTCCTAGCTCTCTTCCCTGCATATCTTTCACCACTTCATATACATAATCTTTTAATTTTTTGGTGCCTGCTGCTGCCCCATCTTCTTCATATATAATTGAGTAACAGACAACCTTAACACGAAACCTATTACCTTATTTCCGTGCCTACCTTCATAGTAGGTTTTTCTAAAGGGGGTAGTTCAATTTTGTTGGAGTTGATTGAAGGGTTATTATTGCAAACCAAAGCAGTTGAAATCCTCTGATCTTCCTTAAACATTTTCATGACGAGTGTCCTATATATTCATTTTAATTGGTGCCATTCCATAATCTATAGCTGCTTTTATTGCCATGCTAGCAACGATAGCATCGTTGTTAAGCTAGTCCCTTAAACTCGTCTAAAAGTGTTTTTCCTAAATTTTATCAATGCCATGCTGAGAGGCAGCCAGGTATCAAACAAGTCCAAAGTTTTGCAGGTCAGCAATTTCACAAAAAACCACACAAACATGAACTCTTTCATGTCGAGAATCATGCTATCCCAATTTATTTATAAAAAAAATAAAATAAAAAGAGCCTTCCAATTTGATCCAACCTTGACGATTACAAACGCTCCCATAAAAAAAAAAAAAAAAAAAACTACCCTGAAAAACTACTGAAAAATTTAACTGCAAAGTGAAAAAGAGCGACAATTACACAGTACACTTGGATTGGTTTTAATTTACCCTTCTATTGGCTCATTCACTCGTAAACTCTCCAACTCAGTTAAAATATATCCCCCATTATTCTTTGACTACGATTCTTCAACTCAGTTCTCTAGTCAACTCAGTGTTGGAGAGTTGCCAAGCTGAGGTGGTGATAAGCGGCCTCGTATGCCACCCAAGCATTAAACACCCATCAGTCTCCTCCACCCTATACCCATCACCGCCAGCGAAGAGAGCCAACAACATGCTAGCTTGCTTATAAGCATTTGAACCCAAGTGGACCGGGCTGAAACCAGCGGTTTCCATCCGATTCCTCCACTGAATCAGCGTCTCGTGTCGTTCAACTCGGTCCATTCCTTCACAAGCAACCACGTTACAAATTTGCCTTCCCAAATACAACTCGGACATAACAAGGTCTTGACTAGGCGGCGCCGCTCCTGAGCCTTCTAAAGAGTCAAAAAGACTGGAATAGTAATGTAGAGCTTCAGTAAACCGGTCTAAGAAAACCTGACCGTTGTGGTTAGCTTCTTGTTCTACAACCGTAAGAATTTTGGGCTTCATGGCTTTGATCGAAGAAAGAACTTTTTCGATCCCGCCAGGTCGAGCCAGCAGGCGGTGAAGTTCAAAAACTGAATTCACCGCTACTGCCTCGACCTCGGGAGGTTGGATCTCGAGCATTTCAGGCTCAAGATCCGCCAAACTATTGGCTACGAATCCCCTGAACTCAAATTCGACGCCAATAATTTCAGCTAACTGAGCTAATTTCCAGCCCACTTGCTGCAAAGCATCTGTATTATCCGGTTGAGGCGGGCCAATTCCAGTTAATCGGAAAGCCGGTGGCCCGCCTGGCCTTAATGCAAGAGCTTGCATTAAAGCCGGCCATTGCATCCCCTGTTTTAACCCAAAATCAATAACATGAACTCTGTTTGCCGTGGCGAAAGCTTCCAGGATAGCTTGATTGGCTGTAAAATGAGCAAATTTCAAGTAGGGGCAAGTTTCGTAGAAGTGCATCTGCAGAATATCAGTGTAAGATGGGTCAAGAGAGTCTTGTGGGTAAATCCTATAGATTCGACGAGCCAAGGCTTCAGCAAAATAGGTGGCAACTTTTCTCATGGCACCGGATTGAGACGCGGCGAGTAATCCCATATGCTTGACTAAAACATCAGCCAGCTTGAGATTATCTTGTTGGACAGCTTCAGCACAAGCCATCAAGGCGTGAACCAGTCGAACCCCAGTTTCTTGCGAGTCAATCAAAACAACGGGGCGAGTTGACTCAGTTACAGCACCTGAAACTTCAATCTCTTGTGGTGATGAAGAAGATGAGCCATATCCAGTAGATCCGGATGAACCAATTGAAGTCTTCATTCGTTTCCGGGTACTTTCCAAATCTGATTTAGATTTTGGTGGTGGGTAAGCAGCAACCCCTGGAATTGCCCTGAGATCGTACTCGGAGTCATCACTATAAACCTGGGATTGGTTGCTGACAACAATTTGTTGCTGATACTGTGCTTTTGAAGGCTCTGAGTGATTAATCTGACCAAGGATGGAAGAATTGGAATCCGAATTTGCCAAAACAGGATCAAGGTTTGATGTTGCTGGATTGTTTAACTCAGTCAACATGCTTTGAACCCAACCAGAAAGATCGGAAGGATTGTAATGAATACTGTCACAAGAAAGATGTGAAATCCCATCTTCTTGAGCAGTTCCCAAAACCATCTCCAACTGTTCCAATTTTTGAGCCACATCGGCCATTTCCGAAGACCGAACTTTGTAACCCAAAACGGCCAACAGCTCGTCCATCCCGCCGGCATCTTGCTCTTCCTCCCATAATTTCCCTTTGTCAGGATTACCAATGCTTGAACTCTCAGCCTTTGCGCCACTCCCACTGCCATAGCCAGTGGCTCCATAGATTTCCTCGTGATCTCTCTTCATTATTCTTTTTCTGGAGAGCATGGAAAGGAGAAACCAAGGCTAGAATTTGTTCAAGGCAGTGAATTGGGTAAAGGTTTTGATTTTCTTGTAAATTAGCTCTTTGGATTAAAAAAGATGGAAGAAAAGAGAGAAATGGGTGAAGTGGGGATATTGCTGGAAGGTGTAATGGAGATAAGGAACAGCGTAGGCCATAATAATGGGGTTTGTTTTTTGTTTTTTATTTTAATGTTTTAAAAGTTTGTTGCTTCAATAAAGAAAAAAACTAATAATAATTCTGTTTTAATTTAGTAAAATTGCTCTTTATCAAAGAAAATGATTTAGCAACTTTTAATGATTATTTCTTAAATTTTCTTGATGCTACTCATTTTGAATATAGTTCTTAAAATTTCTGTTGTAACTTTTATTAATTAAAAAAAAATTGATCAGTATTTACTTAAATATTTGTTAAGCTGATTTTTATAAAATAAAATTTGGTATTAATGCATTATACATTTTTGTAATACCTATAAGGGTGTCTTTAAATTTTATTTGAATATAATTTTTTAAATAATTTTAAAATATTCTCCTTCACATTGATTTAATAAATTTAATATTTTAAAAGTTTAAAAAATATTTTCTATAATTTATGAGAATTTAAGTGAGATTTTTAAGAAAATCTTGAGACGTGATTCTTACAAATAGTTCCTAGAAAAGGGCAAAAAAAAAAATGAAAGCCATAGGAGCACCGCAATGCTAAAAAAGAAGGGTTATTTTTGGGCCAAAAGAAAATAAAAGGGATATTTTGATAGAGTACAGCCCGTGTATACCAAAGAACTAACTCTCTCCGGTCTCCATCATTTGATAAAGAATCAGCTGGCCGTACGCTTATACCAAATACTTATATATTTGGGTTTTGCAGACTGTGGGCTCCACCTGTTTATTCCCATTCTTTTTCAACTCATCCTTCTATGCTCGTGTCGTACACGCTCTTTTTGCTCAACATACAAAAATATAAAACACAAAATACCCCATAATCCGTGGAGACTAGTAGAATCATAGGAAAGAGTATTCCTCGATTTTATCTTAAACTTTGAAAAATTAAAATTTTTAATGATAAAAATAAAAAATTTATTCCTGTACATAAAATGGTTTGCTTATCATTGTCAATTTTAATCATTTTGACTAAGAATAAGATTCAAGAGAAGAATAATAGCAACGCTTACTTGGTTAGTGGTAAGTTTATAGACCAATTTTGACTTTAGAAAAGGAAACAAAACAGTTTTGGACCGATAAATTAACAAAGCCGGCAAAGTGTCTTGTACACGCTCCATAAAGTTGAGTGAGCAGGTCATTTTCACCCCCTGCATGGCCACATGACAGATATGTAGTCAACTTTTAGTCCAGAAAAACACATAGCAAGTATTAACCACGTCCCAATTGGAAAAAGGCTTACTGTCCAATAAAGCCACGTGGCGAATCTCCTAAGCGCGTGGATTCATCTCTCTAAAACCGACGTGATTGCTTTCTTGTGGCCCTATGTAAATCGAGAAAGAATTGGTAAAAGCAGAAGGCATTCAGACGTCAACATCGATTTTAGGACCATAGACTCATGGGGCCCAGTTGAACGTATCGCCGTTACTTTTAACGGAGTTTTGGAAATTAGGTCCTTTTTTCTTTTCCTTTTTATATTTTTTTGTCGCAGAAAATTATATATATATATTTTTTTAATGTCGAAGGAAGAAGAAAGGTTTGGGAAAGGCCACAGTGACAAAATTGACAAATCAAGTTTTATATTGGTCCAAGTCCGAGCACTATATGATTTTGCCACGTTTCACTAACTTTTCCTCTTGGTAGGCCCTACCATTTTGGTTTAGAGGAATTTTTATTTTCTTTTTGCGAAAAATATTCCTATATTACTTTTTGGAATTTGTGACATCCATGCGAAACTTTTTTGTTAGAACTTTAAGTTTGTTGGAATTTTAATCTTTTTATATATAAAAACATCGTAATTCAATGATAATAAAAAAATTTTATATACTAATAATGAATGAATGTCACATCTTATAAATTATTGTATGAATCAAATTAAGATTTAAAAAATTTTTATTTTTTAAATTGTACTCTAGGTGAATAACCCGAGTTTAGTGTAGTGATTATTACTTTTTTTTTTTTTTTTTGTAAATTAGTGAATGTTAGTTTGTGTTGGCATGGTTCTTTGTTGCTTTCTTTTTTGTTTAGAATGACTGGAAAAGAATTAGAATCATTTTGATTTAAGGGAAGGGTCCTTGAATGAGGAGAGAAATTGATGGGAAATTATATAATTGATTTGATATATTTTTGTTTGGTAATTATGAATTTTTCTATTTGGTTTTTGGAATAAGGGTAGAATGAGTTGATATTCTCTCATATTTGTCCAAAAACAAAATGGCATTACCCACCTTAAAATAAATTTACTTGAAAATTTAAATTACAAAAAGCAAAAAAAAAAAAAAACTTGGTTTGATCAAATTATTGTATAAAAATTAAATTCGCATTTTAACAAGAGTATATGAACGGATTGCGCAATTAATTTAGCAATAAGAAAAATAATCCAACAGAAGAGGACACTGCATTTTCCAAATCATATAAATATTATCTACCAGGTAAATTAAAGTAGTAAAAATAATAATTTTAATATCATTAACAACCTCAGAGGAAAAACAAAAAAAAAAAAAAGCATTATCAAATCTAAAAAATAATTGCTAAATGATAGATGATAAATTATTACTATAGTGAATTTAATTACTTGCATGCTAGTCTTGGTAATAGTGGATTAGTAATGAATGATTATCTTCCCAAGGAAAAATTTTCAGATTTGCATGTTTATTGAACACAATAAGATATGAATGAAGCTTAGTGAATTTTTTGGGAAAATTAAAGAAAGGAAATAAATGCCTACTCATAACTTCAAAAATTCTATATTATTAATTATAAAATTTCTAGACAACAAGGTCAATTATATAAATAAAAAAGTTTTTTTTTTTTTTGGCCAGTAACAGAAAATAATTGACATATAGGTTAGTCTAATAAACATTTAAAAGAATAAACACTTATTATATAATTAAACAAATAAATTAAATGGAATTTAAGCTCGATCGCCAATATTAGGTACATGTAAAAACAATAATTTACCATGTAAAAATTCATAGGAATCCCTATGCAGAAAGAGAGATAGCTCTCTCCCTTCAATCAATTGATTTTATATGTTTACTTGGCTCTAATTTAATCTTGTAATTGGTAATAATAATCTAAGAGGTTAAATTCAATGAAGTTACAAGTGATCAAAAACTTTTTTTAAGGAATTTAAAAGTAAACAATTAGAAGAATTCCATAGAGATGGTCAAATTCCAACACACAAAACCTGACATGATATATTGTTGTCTACATTCACATGGCAATGCCGATTTTTTTTTTTCTTCCATTTGTCATTTGCATCTTCATCCAAAGCATTCCTCTGGCAAATAGTAAGTCAATAAGATTCCTTAATTGTAAATTAAAGATCCTCTTCGTAAACCATGTTGTCTCATTGCGTAAAATAACTTTTGTATTCGATTGTTGATCTCGGTGATTAGAGCGATTATTATATTAGATACATTATTATAATTAATTAACAACTAATGATTCCTTAGGTTATTGCTTTTCAAATATTCATGCCGGCAATAAAACGATGCAAACAAAGTACATACAAACAGTTGATTAAGGATTAAATAATCTAACTTTTTAATCAAGCTTTATTTGTTTAATTACTACTAGTTGTTCGTTAAACATTGACATAATTGATTTTTAAATAATGGTTATAATTATGTAGAAATTGCCATGGTGGATGAGATCACTTTGAAAATGAAAGGGGGAACCAAGCCACCCGGATGGCTTCAAACCCTTTAAGAATAGGGCTGTAAACGAATTGAATTTGAACTAACGTATATTTATGTTTGTTTATTTATTTTTAAAAATATTTGTGTTCAATTCATGTTTTTTAAAATAATTATTTTGTTCGTTCATGTTCATTCATTTAAATAATAAGTTATTCGTATTCGGTTTGTATTTGTTCAATTAAGTTAAACGAATTTGTTCGTGAATATTAAATGAATATGTTCACGAATATATCTAAATAAACATATTTATAAACAATAAACAAATCATAACCAAACAAATCTAAACAAATAAATATAAATAAACACAAACAAACATAAACGAACCTTAAAATAAAATTAAGGTAAAAGATAAAAAGATAATTTTATTAGTATTATTATAAACGAACAACAAACGAATAATAAATAAATAATAAACGAATGAATTTTAAGTAAACCGTAAACGAGTTTGTTCGTGAACATAAATAAATGAATAGACAATTGTTCATATTTTGATCGTTTAATAAACGAACATACAAATGACGTTTAAAATCGTTTGTTAAACTTAGTAAACGAATAGAAACCGAACATATGCACGAACGGTTTATCAAAAACTCTATTCACTTACACCCCTATTCAAAAATTAAAAAATAGACAAAGACTGAAGAAGTAATTTTGGATAATATATTACTTACAATGATTTATTATAATTAAACAATCAAATTTGAGAGTTGTTTAGGGTTTATTAAATATTACGTGGAGTCCACTCTTATAATTACTAGACCATCATATAATTCTTGATTATAATTAGATAATTATAATATTGTATTAAAAAATTATAATTAAAATGTTTTCATAATTTTAATTTTAGGATTTTGGAGTTCATATCTTAGGATTTAGGATCATAGGGGGTGGAATTTATAGAATAGAAAATGTTACCTCTAATTAATTAATAGGCTAAGGCTTAATTAAAGTTTCCAGTTGTACAGAAACAAAAATGAACAGATAAATAACATTTTTATACCTTTCTTGAAATATAGTATCAATGAAAGGATCCTAGCAATCGAGAATCATTTGTCTTATTCGAAGAGGAGACTCTGAAATCTGAATCCCCTAGCTTTATCAACTTGTTAATTTAAAAGAAAAGAAAAAGCTTCAAAGTCCAAATTTCTATGTAATTGTTTAGGAAAAAGTGGGTGAATTGCATGGTTATAGCCCTAAAGACATATCTAATTGTGTTTAGCCCCAATTTCCACACTCAAACTGGATTAAGGTCATCCACACCAAAGAAGGATTAGTTTGTCATTCAACTGCCAA